GAGATAGAATATCTAATTTTCTAACTAAGGTAAAGAACAACTGAGCTCAGTATCACTGACCGTGACAAACTGGTCAGGGGCTGAGGTAGAGGTGATTCAAATGGCAGGTGGGTAATTGTACTCAATGACATTTTCTTCCACAATGGTCTCTGCAGTCCCCTTCTAGCTTGGGATTCTGGGATATGCACATACACTTTGTCATTTAATGCTGTAAACTGCTGATATATCAGTCAGGCAAATTTTCTTCTCCTTTTTCTTAATATCTTATTTTCCCTTTAGTAAGTAATGCATGTTTTTTCAAAGAATTTGAAGATTTCTAAAATGTTGAAAAAAGTAAACATTTCACTGTAGTTTTGCCATCTGTATAATCAGGTTTCATAGCTGCAAACACAGAATAGGCCCAAGCTAGTTTACAGAGAAAAGGAATTCACCTGAAAACATTAGGTAGGGCCACTCTTCCTATCAGGCCCAGTAGACAAAATGCCAAGGAGCTATAAACTCTTTTAGGGGCCTATAAAAATGTCTTAATTTTTTTAAGATATGAAGAAAAAAAGTTGAAAAAAATTATTATATAGTATTATTATATCTATCTTTATGCCAATGCAAGTCATAGAGTCTATTACATACACATATACGGGTGCGTGTGCATGCATGTGCGTGCACGCGCATTATGGGGAGAAGGTCTGCTGAAGGCAAAAGTGCAGAGGATCACCTAAGGTCTTAAAGAAACGGAGGCCCAGGCTCGGAGGCTGCCCGCTCAGGAGCCCTGCGCTTCACCATGGCCACATGGGCACCGCTGCAGGACAACCCCCCGGTTGCTGACGCTGCACGAGCTCTGCCGCCCACACTGCTGACGTGGGCCTGAGGGTTCCTACTGTGCTCCGAATGCCTTTCAGAGTGGATTGTCAGGTGGAGTATGTGAATCACGTGCCGCTAAATCGAAGCCTTGTACAATGTCATCATCTTAGCAGAAAAGTCTAGGTCATACACTTCCAGCCTAACATTCTCAACAAAGGAGAGGGCTGTCTGGAGAAAGTCTAGCCATTTTAATATAATGAGAATTGTTTGCATGACATTGATGTAACCTGGCAGCCAAGGAGAGTGGACTGGACTGTGCACATGTGAACAACGATGACCTCACTCCACGAGTCAGTGGGGACAGTAGGCCCCATTGAGTGAGCATTCATACTGTGTGGCCGTCACGTTCAAAATGACTGAGCCAGTAGCAATGAATCTGCATCAAATTTTGTGTGAAGCTCCACGGAAACTATTTGGATGATTCAGAAGGCTTTCAGGGATGATTCAATAGTGCAGTCCAAATAAAAGTGTGGCACAAATGCTTCAAAGATGGTTGAGAATCTGTTGAAAGCGATCCACGTTCTGGAAGGCCTGCACCACGCAGAACACCTGAGAATGGTGAATGCGTATGGGCTGCAATCAACACAGATTGGCGACTGACAGTGTGAGAACTAGGAGCTGATCTGGGGATTCCAAAAACTACTGTGACTGAGATTTTGATGCAGGATGTTGGCATGAAACATGTCATGGTAAAATTTGTCCTGTGGCTTCTACGACCAGAGCAGAAGGAACATTGTGCTGCATTTGCTAATAACTTCATTCAGACCTCTCCCAATGTGTCAGATTTCCTCAAGAAGGTTATAACCAGAGATGAATGGTGGGTCTAAGGCTATGATCTGGAAGGAGCAGCAAAGTCGCAGTACGATCAGACCATGCTACCTGTTTTTTGATTGGGAAAGTGTTGTCCGTCACAAGTATGCTCCCCCAGGCCAAACGATTAATAGGGAGCACTACCTCAATGTTCTTTGTCAGTTGAGAGATGCAATACGATGAAAATGGCCATGGCTGTGGGCAAGTGGTGATTGGCCGCTTCATCACGACAGCGCGCCTGCTCATGCATCACATCTCATGCAGAGCTTTTTTTGCCAAACATCAAATCACCCACGTGCCTCAGTCCATCTATAGCCCATATTTGGTGCCCTGTGACTTCTGGCTTTTTCCAAAACTAAAATCACCTTTGAAAAGGAAGAGATTTCAGACCATTGATGAGATTCAGGAAAATAAGACAGGGCAGCTGATGGTGACGGGGAGAACTGAGTGAGGTCCCAAGGAGCCTACTTTGAAGGAGACTATCGTCCTATATACAATATTTCTTGTATCTTGTATTTTCTCCAATAAATGTCTCTATTTTCCATAGCACATGGATGGATACTTTCTGGACACACCTCATCACATATGCCTTTATATCCCTTATATACCTTCATGTAATGAAGACTGAGAAGTAGATTTCTGGCATCCATCCTGGTGATATGTAAACTTGAAAGGTGGGATATTTTCCAAACATAGGGGGATGTTCCAAATGTACTGAACAGCTAAAACTCCACCTCACAAAACTACCGCCTAAATATTGTTATGTTAGCATCTAGATTCTCTGGAATGCGTAGGTTTTGTTTTTCTCTAATAGTTCAAATGTAAGCTATAACTGCACTCACTGAATACTTATTATGTGATAGGTACTGTTAATACTATTTGAATCACCTAATTTTTTTTAAAGGTTTATTTATTTATTTAGAGAGAGGGAAAGGGAAGAAGAAAGAGAGGGAGAGAAACATCAATGTGTTGTTACCTCTCATGTGCCCCCTACTGGGGACTTGGCATGTGCTCTGACTGGGAATCGAACCAGCAACCCTTTGGTTCGTAGGTCAGCATTCAACCCACTGAGCCTGACTAGCCAGAGCTGAATCGTCTAATTTGATTTTTAATTTAAAATGGCATTTTGAGATAGGTAATATTGTTACTACTTTCCATGTTATAAATGAGGAAACTGAGGCTTAAGGAGACATGGAGATATAGTTACGTATTAGTGAAGATGGGATTTTATGCTGAGTCTTACCTGGTATACTACACATTTATATGTTCAGATATACAACTTTAAATCCTGCTTTTTACATTTAATATTTTGGGATAAGCCTTTTTAAATCTGAACTTTAAATTCTTTAATGGTGATATAATATTCCATCCATTTATTATAACAACATTTTCAAACATTTCTCTATTGTATTTAGTATATTTCCATATTTTTCCTATTTTAAATAGTACTGTAGTAATTCTTTATGTATACATTTAAAAAAATATTTAGCATTACTTCCCTAGAAGAGAAATTCAGAATTGGCATTACTAGATCAAAGGGTATGAAAACACATTTTTGAGAAGCCTGCACCACACTTTATTTCCTTTAATGGTGAAGAAATAAGCCCACTAATGCACTGATACATTCAATACATTCATTGCCTTCCTCCTATGTACTGGGTACGGTGCCTGTGATGCCATCACGAACACTTGACAGCCACTTACCTAAAAGGTACTATGGCTTAGAAAGTGTTAGAATAGGGTGTGACTGAGAAGAGCATCTTGTGTCAAATGTGTGTAGTGAGAATGGTTCCTAGATTTTCTGGGACAGGGCAGAAATGCTTCAGAGCTCTGAGGAGCTGTAGGAAGAGTGGCAGTCAGAGCAAAATCAAATGGCACCAAGCATGAGCGTTTTTTCCTCTTTGCCAATATGTTAGATGAAATATTGCTGATCATTTCCTTAATTGTTATTTCCTTGAGTACTAATGAAGTTGGACATTTTTCCATATGGTTGTAAGTTGTTTTTTTCATTGTGAAGTATTTTTCAATATTTTGGTACTTAGTGTTCATATAAATTAGAATTTTGAGGGGAGAAGGGGCAAAGGAATATTTCCATTCGTAGCGTATGCACAGACCCATAACGCAAGTTACTCTCTTTATAATAAATGAGCGTTGTGGTTTTGCCCCCTCCTTGTGGGCAAACGTGAAGAATTGTGGGTAGGAGTCAAGTGGCAGGACACCATTTAAAGGAAATCAGAGGATAGGACTCGGTAGTTCAAAATAAACCGGTTGTTTTCCCAGCCCAAGAGAATGAAAGGAGCATAACCCAGGGTCTGGCGCGGTGGCCCGTTGAACCTGCCCGCGCTCTCTCTCCCAGGGTGTACCTTGGCTTTAACAGATCTTGCCTCTACTGTTTGAACTCCTTTTGTGTGTCCCTAAGTTCTTCCCTGCGATAACTCAAAGACCCTTCTCCACCCTGTAACACCCCCAAAATCACCTTTAGCTGCAGGGGTTGCTGGAAGTGTTCCCAAGATTCATAAAAGCTGTGATACTTACAGTCATGGTTTATTAGAGGGAAAGGATACAGAGTTAAGATCTGCAAAGGGACATGGCACAGAAAAGAAAAACCCAGCTGCCAACTCTCAGGTTTCCCCTCCCAGTGGAGTTACATGGGACGTGCTTAATTCTCCCAGCAGCAGTGCCTGAAATGTGTGGTCAACCAGGGAAGCTCAGCTGAGCTTTGGTCTCTAGGGTTTTGTCGGGGATCAGTCATGCAATTTTATTAGGGGTCAGTCACATAAGCTTGTTGCACTAGGTAGTTGACCTCAGCTATTCCAACTTCAGACTCCACTGCCCCCAAGCCAAAACAGGTGTTCATTGTAAATATATCTGGTCAAAGTGCAGCAGCATAGGCTGCGGCCTCAGGCATATAAAAACTCTACCAGACAGACCATTCCAGAGGGTGTCTTCCAGGAGCTGACAGCGGGCCTTTCTTTGGAACGTGCAGGTTTGCCTAGCCCAGAACTGCTGAGCTGACCCTGGCCTTCCCAGTGGTTTAGGGGAATGAATGAGTTAATCCACGTAACTTACAATAGTGCCTGGCTCACGGAGGCAAATAAATAAGGTCAGTTCTACTTCCTTCTAGTGGAGCTCTGTGAGTTGAATAAAGCAGATTAATTGGGAACACAAAGAAGACATTGCTCCGTTCCATGGATCTTATGATGACGTATGTCCTCAAGTTTGGAACGATATGCATTACAAAGCATATTAAGTACTTTAGCTGGGGATGCTTTAGTAAGAGAAGATCCTAGTGAAACACCAGTCCTAACGTGCTGTCCTTTTGTCCTTTACAGAGCTCTGAAGCCAGCAAAGCAATATCCAAGAGCAGAGCTGTTTGAGGAATACAGCAAGAAAGCAGGTACAAGAGTGATTCTCAGTAACTAACACGATACTCATTTATATCGATGATTAATTCAAAATTATAGTCCCTATTATTTAAAAAACATTTTACAAAAATACCACTTTGTTGTCTTAGGATATTTGTGACTGCATGTTATAACTGGCTAACCATATCCTAAAGATTTATTTATTTTTTTAATCCTCACCCGAGGACATGGATTTTTAGAGAGAAGGGAAGGGAGGGGAAGAGAGAGGGATAGAAACATGGATTTCTATGACTACATTAATCAGTTTTGAGGGTTTTAGTTAGGCCTAGACACAACTGTGAGGTAATTGACTAAGTAATTATTGTAATTTATTATTAAATCAGCACATATTTATTAAAGGCCTATTATATGGCAAATAGTCCTCTGTGAGGCAGTTAGTGATTTTACAGAATTGACCCAAACTGACTGGCATCATCCTTTTCTATCCTCCTGGTGCTTACAGTACAGCAGAGGTGACATGAAATAAATAAGCAAGTATCAGTATGTGAACAGACACTGTGATTGATGCCACAAAGAGAAACAGCAGAGTTCTGTGGGACAAAATATTGGGTGACAAGGGAGGAATCTGCTGTGGGACGGCTAGACAGAGAGTATCTCTCTGGAAACCAACATTGAACTAAGAGCTGAAGTGTGAGGAAGAGAGTCCCAGGCAGATGGAACAGCAGGGAATAAAGAAAATGATTGAATAAAAGGATAAAGCGTCTGTAGCAAAGTCACAGAGGTAGAGAGAGACATAAGGCAAAGCTGGCGGAAAAGAGGATGAAAATGAATTTGGGAACTGGCCCCGTCCCGCAGGACCTTACAGGTACCCTTGAACCAGCTCTATCTGGCCACATTCTGCTCCTGGCATTTCTGTGCAATGTCATTTGGTCTTCTCGCCTGGTCCCCAGAATATAGGTGCTTTTAAATCCGTCACCCAAGCCTGCCCTCCTTCATCTCCTGCCGAAGTGCAGCATACCCATCTTACGACTGTGCAAAGAGGTTCTCAAATGTGTTCAGTGCTCTGGACACTGGTTCTATGACTTCTGCAGAAAGTGGTTTGGGGTCAAGAAAGTTGGACAATTTCTGAAAACGACAACACTCTCAGGAGCTTTAAATGCATATTAACATATTATAGGTTCGTATGTATATATACGTGTATATGTATGTGCATGTGAACCATAAGTTAGCTTGATAGTTCCCAAAGCTATTTCTAGGTTAACCTTAGGAAGTATTTCAAATGCTTCTTTCTCAGAAATAATGCATTTTGTGGTTTCTCATACTCCTGAGGCTGGCCTGCTTTTAAGTAACTGACTTATTATATGTGTCTGCACATTAAATTACAATAGATACTTTTCTAGAACCTAGATAAGTCGAGCCGGAGGGGGAGGGAAATGTTTGTTTTAGTGGTTTAGCTTTTTTAGGCAGGAGAATTTTCTTTACCACAGTTATATGGCTAATTGCTTCAAAATCTGATTATACTTGAGGTGTGAAAACATAGCCTTAAGTACCAACAAGGAGCACTGGAGTAAGAACTTACTAAGTAATTTTCACTATCAATATTAGTAGTATTTGTTCTCTGAAATCAAACAAAGGAAAACCACAAAAAACACTTAGCATCTCAGCTACTTTGCATCATTTCTTTCCATTGAAAATGCTTATTCCTCTGGATTTGTAAAATTCTCAAAATTTCAAAAAGTATTAAAGTGAGAAAAATGACTTGTGGTAGTGCCTACTGTCACACCTAAGAGTGATTTGATTTGATATAAATGTGGAGATTTTGTATTTGCAGCAATAAAAGTTTCAAGGCCCAGAGTATGAGAGTTAACCTATGCTTATTTCAGAAGAAGGGTTCTTAGCCTTTGTGATGGAAATGGTATTGACTTTTTAAGACCAATACAGTATCTTTCAATTCAGTTATCTACTACTAAAAACTAAGAAAAAAATCATGAAATAGTCCCAAGGATTTCATAACTCAGGAACAAAAAGCCTTGCTTCATCCCCAGAAAGACAAGAGACAGCTGTCCCTTAATTACGACTCTTGCCATTTGCTATTTGTTAAGAGATGTGTCTCAAATTTGGAATCTAATTAGAAATCTAAACTGAAAATGGATTTTTAAAAAGGTGAAGAAAGAAAAAAGATCAACACGGAAACATAGAAGTAGGGAGAAAAACAGAAATGGTAAATTCCAGCCCAATAGGATAATCACCTATGTGAAAGTGAGTTCGCCTCTGGGGAGCATGTTATCTGGCATGAAGTTGAACTTGACTGTTTCCCCTTTCAGGAGGCATTTTCTCAACCAAATGACATGATCTCTATGCATTGTTATTTTCAGAGATTATACTTTGCTCAGTGTGAAAACAATGGTTTTAAAGTTTTGAGGCCTAAGTTAAATCCCAGCCCCCTAACTTCTTCCCTATTGAAACGCGGACAGATTTTCTAACTATTCTCAATCTCAGTTGACCCATCTCTAAAATGGAATTTCTAAATCCCATTTTGCAATGTGGTTTCTTATTTGTCTCTTGACTTAACACACTGACTACTATGTAGCAGCAGATTTAGATATATTAAGTTGTGGAAAGGAAGAAAACAAAGTAGAAAGAAAACAGGTAAATTTGCAGATAGACAGTAATAGCTAGCACAGACTATTGCAAATATAAACATTCAGAGAGAGCTTTATTGATTCCGTATCCTGGAGGCGAAAACTCAAATCCTTTTCCTCAAGTAATTTTTTTTTCCTTGTAGATATTTTGGATTCTCTCTTCAGATTGTCAACCCCACTTAAGGCATAATGACACATTATTTCCGAATTATAGCACTTTATGTGCTGTTAGGCATGATAGTTGCTCAATTAGTATTAGTTTAATTGAGTGAGGCTGGGAACTAAGAGAGGCAGGAAGTTGGATCACCCAGCTTGTTCTCTTCCCTGGCTTACAAACTCGCTGTCTAACCTCTGAAGCAGAAATGATTTCACCCAGTGATAGGGCACCCCATTCTTGCTGCCTCTCCGTGTGCTCAGCTCTCATCAGATTACTTAATTTCCTGTTATTTATGCCTGTTCCACATGGTGGCTGTTTGTCTTTGCCTGCTTTGCCTCCATTTTCAGCATTTTTCCCTGTTCCTCATCCTTCCTTCTTGTGTCTCTCTTCTTCTCTCCCTTCCCTTAATCTCTCCCCACATTTTTTGGTGTACAAAGCTCCTTAAGTCCAATTAGATATCATCTCCTCCATGAAGCTGTCTTAAGTGTCTCCTGGGGTTATTATCTGACCCCCTTTGATTTTTTTTTTTTTTTTGGGCTTTGTTTTCTTTTGTTTTCATGTGCTATTCCTATTCTCCATCTGTGAGCCTGACACCCAGCCAGTGAAAGCCCAGCGCCGTATGTTCACGGCCCTTTTCTTTTTTCCTCGATCCTCTACTCCATCCTCTTACCTTTTCCCAGAGAACCCACCACGGGGGTGGACACCTGGCACCCTTTGCTGCCTGCTTCTCCCCGGGAGTCACCGGGGCTGTGACTTCAGGCCAGGAGCGCCAGGCTGCAGTCCCACCTCCGTCTGAGCCCAGCCAACTTTCCGCATGTGTCCTTGGTTTCGACTCCTCTGTCCCTTGGAGTCAGGAGCCTGGCTCTGTCCCAGGGGTCCAGGCGTCCTGATTCCCAGGACACCTGCCCGCCCCGCTTTCCCTGCGGCTGTCCCTCACCGTGGGCACCGTCCCTGACTGACGGTGGATAGACGTGTGATGCTGGGCGTTGCCCCTCCACAGAGGCCCCGCCCCTGGCTTCCCCACCCCCATCCCCAAGCTCAAGGCCACCCCTATTTATTGATGCACATTTAGCTCAAACTTGAGTTTACCAATTAAATCTTAGTAACTTGGACTCTTAGCCCCTATACATTCATATTTCTTCACCAATTTATTTCTCTTGGTCTTTTATGAAACAGATTTCTTTTTGCTTCCTTTTATGTCTCTGCATTCCTCTTGCCGGATTCATGTTAGTTACTATCAAAGCAGTCCAACTGTACCTCTCTTAGGCCATTTCTCCATTTGGCTAGCCATGCCCAAAAGTAGACAATGTTGTTAATATTAATAATGCTAGTTATATTTATTGACAATTTGCTGTATCTTCTAACATTTCTTGTTTTAGGTTTCCTGTTTAAAATCTATGCAGTAAAATTCCTAGATTTTTGATGTACGGTTCTAGCATTTTTGACACATGTAAATTGTCCGATACTCACTATCACAGGCAAGATTCAGAACACTTACATCACCTCAAAACCTTCCCTGTCTACCGCTTCACGGCCAGCCTCCCCGCCTGGCTTTCACCACTAGAGACCACTGGTGTGTTTCCTGTTTCCCGAAGGCCATGCAGATCGAATCTGCAGTGTGTAGCCCTTGGAGTCTGGCTGCTTTCACCTACCATAATATACGTAAGGTTTACCATTGTGTTCTGAAAACATACTTACATGATTTTAACGCTTTCACATTTATCATAGTTTTATGGCCCATGTCAAAAACAAACAAAACCCCAAGAAACTAGGGACTGCTTTCAGGTCCAAACCACAAGAAAAGCAGAGGGGAAAATTCACTCCCATGTGGTTTAAAACTTCTCCATGTTTTAGCCCCTTTTCACAATTTTCCTGCTTTTGTTTATTTTTCAAAAGCCTCAGGTCGCTTGCTTTTTGTGTCTACTTGTCATCAATGGGTGATGCAGTGTTTAGCTGCTTTGGTCCATTTCTGCAGGAAGTGGCTCGCCTAAAAACTTTTCGCGTATGAGTTTATTTCTCTCCACAATTCATTAGACGGGTAGTGGCGTATTCTCCATTTACAATGAGGAAGCTAAGGGACAATATGGCTCAGTAGATTGCCCAGTTTCTGGGGCCTGGGGAGTCTGGATTCCTAATAGGTCTTCAGCCCTTTGCATGCGCCCTCTCTCATGCTAAGCTGCTATAGTCGTAAGTGCGTGTGAGAGGGACTCAGATATGCATATGCTAGACTAAC